CATGAATTGAACCCATGTCTCCTGTGTCTCCTGCATTGGCAGGCAGATTCTTTACCGCTGAGCCACCTGGGAAGCCCCTAAATTATTATTACCTCAATAGAAAAATTAAAAATAAATGAGCACACACACACCAAAATGGAGGCTTGCAGAAATGAAGTAAGCTGTTCAGGGTCAAAGACCTGGCAAGATCAGATGAGACGTGAGCCCAGGTGGGCTGTCTCTAGAATCTGTGCTCCTGATCAATACAGAATCCTCTGTGTTTGTGAACTTGGGTCACTTTAATTTTGACAAATGTGGGGATTGAAACCTGGGAGAAAGAGAACTGAGTGTCTAGGTGTCTCCTCCCATTAATGACTCTAGGTTATAGAACCCTCTATAAACCAACCACCGTCTCCCACCCACCCCTGCCTCAGCTCTTAGAGTAGGTGGGGCAGCCCGACTGGTCACAGAGGCTTCCAGGTGCCCTGTGTGAACGCCACTCTTTCCATGCCCACCACGCGATGCCCAGGCTGAGGGAGGTCCCTGATCCCCAGAGACAGGGGGACAGGAAGTCTAGCCGCGTCGTGGTCTTTCTGCTCTGGCTTTCCCCTCCCGTGTCTCTCTCCTTAGAGATGTCATGAATCCTGGAAGGATTTGGAGGAAAGATACACTGGACTGATTTGGAGCTTATTTGTGAAAGTCTTTGTTCTAAATACATCAGTTCTGGGTCTCATCAAATAGTGGAAGAAAAGAACATAGAGGCTTAGAGGAAGAAAATAACTCTATCCCCAGACTTGTCACCTGTGTGTAAATAAGAATTTTATTTGGCTGCAAGTAATGGACCCAAAAAATAGTGGCTTAAATGAGATGTTATTTGTATTTCCTGTAAGACATGGTGCCAGGCAGTCCAGTCTCTTCCCCTGGACCACTGATTCATTCAGGAAGGTTCTTTTTCCATCTCTCAAGACCAGGCTTACAGGGAGGGAAACAGGAGCTTCTGTTCTGTCTGGTCTGGTCTTTCAGCATCTCAGAGTGGGGTCATCAGCTCCCACGGGGCCCCCGAGGAACCAGACACGAATCCCACACAGTCCGTTTCTCCCAGATAGCACATTGCCGGGGAGGGAGTGTGGTGATGGGATAGGGCGGGGGGCATTTTAGAGGAATGAATTAGTGGAAGAGTCTGCAATTCCTGATGGAACGGAATGAAAACACAGTGGACACTGTCAAACAGGATACAATTTAACATCCCATCAGTTTTTTCAGCACTTAGATTAAATGGAATTCTCCCAAACAGAACAGCCATGGGTAGGATAATATAATCCAGTAGCCAGACGCATGGATGCTGGTCCTGACCTTGCATTCATGGCATGGAAGGAGGCATGGTGGGGAATTTTTTTTGCCAGAAACATGGCATCTGACCAGGCACATGCATTCCTCAGACTTCCATGTGGCAACGGTCTTTGGCAAAAGCCCCTCAGCCTGACCCAGGCATGCTCCTTGGTCCACAGTCATATGGGGAAGCCCAGAAGAGAAGGGTGGTGAATGATGCTTGGAATCTTTCCTCATTCTTCTTACTGAGAAACTAGCTTAAGAATTAGGGAATGTGGGCGAGACTGTGGGAGCCTTACAGGTGAGTCCAGACCTTGGATGCCTTCTAGAGTCTTGTGGTCCCCAAACTGCCCTCTGCCAAGACAACAGGTGGTAGTAACATGCACCTGGCCTCCATCCCATGGCAATGCCCAGATGACAAGCTTGCAAGGGGAGGAAATGAGACTTGGGACATGTGGATGACCATCAAGCCAGCCAGGAGTCCTCCCTGCTTGCTCCCAGGTGGGAAAGCATAGAGGACTCTGAGAGTGACAGGGTAGGGCCGTTATGGAATCTGCTTTCATGTCAGAAACCATCCGTAAGCCACCTGAGGCACTGGGACCACAGTGAGTGACATAGTGACTGGTGAGGCCCCATGATGGGCCCTGACTGCCTGTGTGCAGGGGCCAGGTGACTGTGTTGTCTGAATGAGAAACATGGTCATGCTGGCTCAAAGTCCCCAAACTCTGGGTCCTCGGGTGGGCGGGGCAGGGAAGTGTCCCCCTGTCACAGGTACCTGCCTCCACAGAATTTCCCATGATGCAGAGCGAACAAGGTGGTGTCCTGACTCTGCGTATAGAACCACCCCCATAAGGATGGAAACGCCTGGAGGCCTGTTAGAGAGAGGCTGCCACAGTGACGCAGTCAAGGGCCGAGGTGGAGGCGGGGGCAGAAGGCTGAGGTGACCCTTCCCTGGTAATTAGATGCTGTCCACTGGGCCACAGGCCTGTGGGAGCCTGGCTTCCTCACAGGTGCCCTCCTGGTCTGGCCACCTCTGGATGCTGCAGGACGCCCCTGGTTTGGGGAGCACTTACCTCACGGGTGATTTCTGTGTGGTTAGCCCCAGGGAACCCCCTACACAGTCTCTGCCACAGACCCAGGAGGGCCTCGAGGAGAAGCTGCAGTGAGGCACTTGGGGAAGCAGGAGGCAGGGTGAGGAGCAGGCCAAGGGACGAGCTCGGGCGACCATTCCAGACGAGGGAACTTGCTCCACGGTGTCCCAGTCATATCCTGCTCCCCTCCCCCAGCTCCGCACACTGTTCCCGCCAAATGCTTTCCCTTCCTGCCCTGTGCCCGTTCTCCTCTTTCCTCCGCTTCTGTTGGTTCTGTCGGCTGCACAGCCTTCAGCTAGACCAGACCACCTCCCGCCCGTCCGCCATGTTCTTGCCCCCACCCTCACTGCCCAGAAAGGACTCAGCACCCGTGTCTGGCTCAGCACCTGTTGGCCTGGCCGCGTCTTTCTCTTCATGTGGAAGATGAATGCAGGGACCGGCTGTCTGTCTAGCTTGCTCCATCCCGGGGCCTGGCCCCGAGCTGAGCCCTCACTGAATGTCTGTGTGTGGGTGGGTGGGGGCTGGGAGAGCAGAAGTTGGGACTTTCTGAAGTAAAAACTGTCTCTGGAAACCTCCAGACACTCAGCTGTGGAGTCGAATCTCTGGGTTGTTGATTCTCGATAGGGGTGAAGCAGAGCAAACGCTTACCGCAGCCCTCCGCAGCGGCTTTCCACCCGGCTATTCCAGAATCGTGGGGTAGAGGCTGGGGTCAGGGGAGAAGGAAGTTAGGGCAACATGCGCTTGTCCTTGGCTAAGTGTCCAGTTCAGACGGAAGAGCAGTCACAGAGAAGGAGTTAGAAGGTCAAGGGGAGACTGTGATACCCCCTGGCGCATGCCGCCACCTCCGGTGTAAATACTGTATGACTGAGGGTTAAATTGCTTCTCCAGCTAACTCCCAGAGCCATTTCCAGGGGAGAATGTGCTTTCTTGGAAAGTGTTTCTCCCAGCCACTTCTCACTCTTTGGAATGTTTGTACTTGTGACTTATCTGATCTCTTGAAACACAAGCCAGCATCTTGCCCACAGAAAGAGCTGGAGGGGGTAATCTCAATGGCCAGGATTTCCCTCCTCTCTGCAAAGGGCCTCTGCTGGTCAGTCTGGGTTCTAGAAGGAAGCAAATGCAGAATCCAGTGCAGGCACTCAGAAATGTAAGCGGGAGGTTCTTCTCGGGGGATAGTCCATCTCAAGGAATTTCCCAACATGCATAGCGCTTGGCAGAGCACGTTCATTAGATGAGTGACACCTGAATGCACAGGCCGGGGTGACAGCCATGGAAGGCGACGGCTGCGGCCAGGATCTCGGGGGAAGCGTCAGACATAACAGAGACTAAATGAGATCATCCAGCGGTGCCTCCCAGCCACACGGAGGGCGCAGCCCTGAGCTTGCTTTTTCCCATGGGGCCCAGAAGAGGGTTTGCCTGCATCAGTTTTATGGCAGACTCCACCACCCAAGGGACCAGAGATGTTGGACTTTGGCCATGACACCTTCTCCTGGACAAGGGGTCNATGTTGGACTTTGGCCATGACACCTTCTCCTGGACAAGGGGTCGGGGTGGTGGGGCGGACAGAGGGCAAGATTGCCATCAACGGTTCAGGAAGAAGGACTTGAGGTTCTGGAAGAACACTGACTTCTGTCTCTGCTTCTGTTTCTTCTTAATAATGGGCACCCAGACCAGCCCACATACCAGCATCATGAGTCCCAGAGACAGGAAGGCAGGCCCCACCATCTTCAGGACCTTGAGGCTCATATCGCCCAGGTTCAGGGTATAGGCCAAGCAGGTGATGACCACACCGAAGAGGAGGATGGCACCACCCACGGACATGATAATGATGGGTTTGCGGTAGATTTCCCAGTTACTCCGGGGGGTGGCGGTCCAGACGGACTCGCTTCTGGAGCTGATGCACAGGGAGCTGGCCGTCTGGCTGGGCAAAAGGTCCTTGGACTCGGGAGACTTCTCTTCGACCTCCAGGGCCTTGGGGAGGGCCTCCATGGTCACCGTTCCTATGGCCTGGGCTCCTGGTACCGGCAACTCAGAAGCAAGGGCGAGGACTCCTCACATACCGTTCCTGTTCTCAGCATCCGTCTCCAGCCTGGTTCTCAGTGCTGAAGTCAAAAGGAAAAGCAGCTGAGATCTACAAAAATAAGAAGCCTCTCAAGCTGTTTTTTTTTTTTTTTCCCCCATGTGAGAGATAAATGGGCTTCCCTGGTGGCTCAGATGGTAAAGAATCTGTCTGCAATGCAGGAGACCTGGGTTCAATCCCTGGGTTGGGAAGATCCCCTGGAGAAGGAAATGGCAACCCACTCTAGTATTCCTGCCTGGAGAGGAGCCTGGCGGGCTACAGTCCATGGGGTCGCAAAGAGTCAGACACGACTGAGCGACTAACACTTTAATCAACTGTCCTTATTATTTAAATCAGGGAACAATGATGTCCTTTAAAAGAACAAATGAAAGCTACAATTTACGAAATGGCATCTTATTTTCAGACTCAACCACTTTCTAGCTATGTGATCTAGACTGAGCTACGGCCCTGGTCTTTGGTCTCCCTTCCGGTCTCCGCTCCTGGTGCCCCGCATTCTTCCTCTTCCTTTGTGTTTCCTTTTGGGGCACCTCAGGCCCCTCTCAAACAGCATTTACTAATATCCCTTTTTGTGAGCAGGATGGGAGAGATTTCTGTACACAGCAGTGAATTTACTGGGAAGTTGGGCTGCGTTGGATGAGGACTGAAGCCCTGAGGGGCTGGGCTGGGAGGAGTCAGTGGAAGGAAGGTCTGGGGTGCGGGCCTCCCAGACTCTCCATGGATTTGCATGTTGGCTCAGCCCCCAGGGGAGCAATTTGAGAAGGGAGATGGAGGTCCTTTTCCCTTGGAGGCCACTTCTAGGGTGTCAGGAGGCAGGTGTAGTGCATGGAGATGCATCCATATCTGTTGCACAGAACTAGGGAAGGTGAGGCTGCAGGCTGGCGCCAGGATGGAAGCCCGGCCTGGGGCTCCAGAGCATGAGGAAAGAATGAACCCTACGTCTGTCTATGCAGGACCCCAAACATGAGCAAGAGAAGCCAGATGCTATCTTCCATTTACAGAAGATTCAAAAACGTGTAAGACGATCAGTGCCGCGTAGTGGTTACCTTCAGCTGGGGTGATGACCGGAAGGGGGATAGACGGAAACTTCTGGAGTGCCATCATGATCCAACTCTCTATCTGGCCCCAGACGGTTACATGGGCTGTTTACTATGACATGGCTACTCTCACATGCATGTGTTAAAGATCAGTAAAATGGTATGGACCTAGACATGAGCATACCAAGAGAAGTAAGCCAGACAGAGAAAGAAAATATCATATTGTTTATATGTGGAATCTAAAAAATTGATAGAATGAGCTTAAATACAAAATAGACACTGACCCATTGGCATAGAAAACAAACTTATGGTTAACAAAGGGAAAAGGGGAAGAGGGATTAAAAAAAAAAAAAGATCAGTAAAATATTTCAGTAAGGAAAATTTTAAAATATAACTAAATACAATATGTTCCTTTTCTGGATTCTGACTAGAAGAAACCAACCGGTACATTTTGGGATAGTTTTAGGGAAGTTTGGCCTTGGTTTGGATGTTAAATGCCACTAAGGATTTAAAATGTGTATTTGGGGGCTTCCCTGGCAGTCCAGAGGTTAGGACTTGGTGCTTTCACTGCTGTGGGCCTGGGTTCAATCCCTGGTTGGGGAACTAAGATCCCACAAGCCCTTCGGTGTGTCTAAAAAAAATATCTTGTATTCGGTATAATGAAGATACTGTGGACACAAAAGAAAGCGTCTTTAATGAGAATGGAGGTATATCTTGAAATCACATACAGGGATAAAATGTCTCAATGGCATGATATACATGAAAACATGAACCTCCATATCAAATATGACAGAATGTTAAAGGTTATAAAATCTTTTTATGGAAGATGGATGTATGGAAGTTGATTATCTTACTATCTTACTTAAGTTGTTTATTCTACTATAAACATGTTTGCAAATGTCTGTAATAGATGAGACACTGAATGAGACACTGACCATGTGTATAAATGGTCAACAGCCAGACATGTATAAAAGCAGAACTCTGACCCAGAACTTGCAGCAACCAGCCTGAGAAACCACCAGCCCAGGAAGCCAACCCTCTCTCTGGAAGTCAGACTTTCAGGAAATCACAGCACTATCCCTAGTAACCAACCCCACAAGCCTAACAGTAACTGCAGACAACTACTTTTGACAAAAACACCAAAACTAGTCCACGGGGGAAAGGGAAGCCATTGCAACCAGTGGTGCTGGAATAACTGAATATTCATATAGAAAAAAATGAAACTTGTCCCCACCTCATACCATCAACAAAAAAATGAATTTGCAATGGATCACGGGCAAAACCTGAACATAAAAGTGAAAACCATAAAGCTCTTAGGAGAAAAAAATAGGAGAATATCTTTGTGACCTGGAGGTTGACAGAGATGGCAATAACCGAGGAAGAAAAAGAAATCAATAAATTAGATTTCATCATAATTTAAAACTGCTCATTAAAAGCTACCAGAAGAAAATGAATAGGCAAGCTATGGACTGGGAGAAAATTTTAGCAAAATATGTATTGTCAAAAGATTTCTATCTGGAATATGTAAAGAACTACTACACGGGATTAATATCAACACAAACAGCGCAATTTGAAAAATGGGCAAAGATTTGAACAGATCCATTACAGGGGAAGATAGATGAAGAAGAAATCCATGAAAAAAATACCTTGAGATTGCCATGCAAATTATATGAAAGACGAAATGCAAATTAAAACCACAAGGAGATCCAGTCACTCACTAGAATGGCTAAACTTTAAACATCTCACAACAACCAGAGCTCTCAAACACTGCTTGTGGGAATGTAAAATGGGATAGCCACTTTGGAACCAGGTCAAATAGTTTCTTACAAAGTGAAGCATCCACCTTCCCTTTGAGCTAACAATTCCACTCCAAGATAAATGGAAACCTATGTGCACCAAGACTTGTTTAAGAATATTCATAGAAGCTTTGTTCATAGTAGCTCTAATCCAGAAAACAACCCTAATATCCACGAACAGGAGAAAAGATGAACACACACTGTATGTTCATAAAAATACAAAATACTATTCAACAATAAAAAGGAACCACCTTTGGATACACACACAACTTGGATGAGTCCCATAGATATGGTGGGTGAAAGAAGTCAGATATGAATGAGCACATATAGTATATGTTTCCACTTACATGATCTTCTAGAACTTTCTAAGGACTAATCTAAGGTGACAGATCTCAAAACAGTGGTTGTAGGGGTGGGGAGGAAATAACTGGGGCTTTCTGGGGTCAATGGAAATGTTCCATCTCTTTATGTCAGTGTGGGTTACATAGAGGATCCATTTGTCAATGTGGTACACTAAGATTTGTGCATTGCAATGTGTATAAATTATACCCAGTGAAAAAGAACTGTAAAAGTCATAGTAGTAATAATCAAGTGGGTCAGTCTAGGGAGCAGGTGAAAGTGTAGTTAAACTAAGAACAGGGGAGTGTTGATAATGGTTGAAGTCCTATGATGGAAATCGGGACCCAGGGTAGAGGTGTGGGCAGGAGGCATGTTGCCCCAGAAAAGGAAAGTAGGGGTATGGGCAGGGGCAAAGTGACCGCAGAATAAGACAGAGAAGGAAATCAATGAGGTGAGAGCGTCACCTGACTCTTATAGGAATCCTCTGTGCTGACTCTGAGAAAGAGGAGATCCTGAGAGAAAGAGAAGGTACATCTTTGAGAGACTGGGATTTGGGGATAGAAGATGGATGTGGAGATGGAAGTGGAGATGGAGGTGGAGATGCAGACAGAGGTGGAGATAAGAGATGGAGAGGATGACAGAGATGCAGGCAGAGATGAGAGCGGACGATGGAGGCAGAGGTGGAGCTGAGAGATAGAGGGAGAGAGAGAACAAGAATTTTACTGTTTTCCCCTCATCTCTGGAAAGATATGCTCAGATGGTAAAGTGTTTGCCTATAATGCGGGAGACCAGAGTTCAATCCCTGGGTCAGGAAGATCCTCTGAAGAAGGAAATGGCAACCCACTCCAGTATTCTTGCCTGGAAAATCCCATGGACGAAGGAGCCTGGCGAACTACCATCCATGGGGTCGCAAAGAGTCAGACACGACTTCACTTTCACTTTCTTTCTTGAGGGAAAACTCTTTCACAGAGCCAGAAGGCCCTGGACAGAGCAAAGACAGGGTTTGGTTGGCAGAACTAGTATCCAGAAGGGACTGTCTCTAATCTTGTTAGAGCTTGTATCTTTATCTGTGGCTATTTGTAATGGACCGGGTATTTGGAGAGCCTGCCTGTGAATATCTCTCCAGTGTTTGCCCTTTGACCTCTGTTCCCCAGGTTGCTCCACAGGGCTCCCTGACACCGCACCCAACTCTAGACGCAGAGCCACAGACACAACTCAAACCATGTCCCTTTCCGAAGAGGAGCTCTGGGTATCCACATTTCCTGGCTCAGCAGCATCTCTGATGAACGAGGTAAAGTGACATCTCAAATGAGAGGGGACAGAATGCAGGGACTTTCTGGCTGTTTCTCATGCACTCATAGGTTCATTCCCCAGTGGGCGGTTGGGTGGGTTGCATGGATCTGAGAAGGTATATCTTTGAGAGACTGGGATTTGGGGACAGAAGATGGACGTGGAGATGGAAGTGGAGATGGAGGTGGAGATGCAGACAGAGGTGGAGATAAGAGATGGAGAGGATGACAGAGATGCAGGCAGAGATGAGAGCGGACGATGGAGGCAGAGGTGGAGCTGAGAGATAGAGGGAGAGAGAGAACAAGAATTTTACTGTTTTCCCCTCATCTCTGGAAAGATATGCTCAGATGGTAAAGTGTTTGCCTATAATGCGGGAGACCAGAGTTCAATCCCTGGGTCAGGAAGATCCTCTGAAGAAGGAAATGGCAACCCACTCCAGTATTCTTGCCTGGAAAATCCCATGGACGAAGGAGCCTGGCGAACTACCATCCATGGGGTCGCAAAGAGTCAGACACGACTTCACTTTCACTTTCTTTCTTGAGGGAAAACTCTTTCACAGAGCCAGAAGGCCCTGGACAGAGCAAAGACAGGGTTTGGTTGGCAGAACTAGTATCCAGAAGGGACTGTCTCTAATCTTGTTAGAGCTTGTATCTTTATCTGTGGCTATTTGTAATGGACCGGGTATTTGGAGAGCCTGCCTGTGAATATCTCTCCAGTGTTTGCCCTTTGACCTCTGTTCCCCAGGTTGCTCCACAGGGCTCCCTGACACCGCACCCAACTCTAGACGCAGAGCCACAGACACAACTCAAACCATGTCCCTTTCCGAAGAGGAGCTCTGGGTATCCACATTTCCTGGCTCAGCAGCATCTCTGATGAACGAGGTAAAGTGACATCTCAAATGAGAGGGGACAGAATGCAGGGACTTTCTGGCTGTTTCTCATGCACTCATAGGTTCATTCCCCAGTGGGCGGTTGGGTGGGTTGCATGGATCGTGCAAGCTGGTGAGCAATGCCGAGTGTCCAGGATAGTAAGGACCATATAGCTTTCCCTCCAGTAGATTCTCGAGTGTCAGAAATGCACCACTTAGTGGACAGCAGTTGAAAGTGAAATAAGTGGGTCACTGCCCTGGAGGTGACCAGAGGCGTGTCTGTTCTTACAGGGCTGGACGTTCTCCAGTCCCTCCCCGAGTCCTTGCAGGGCTGGGCCTGGGGCTCCCTCGGCTTCCCGTGCCCTCCAGCAGGTAGCTCAGCACCTGGCTGGGGCTTGGGGATCACCAGTCATGTGTTAAATGACTCACTAAGCAGCGGAACTGCAACGGGAAGATTGAGCATCACAGGGTCAAGTCTCCATTGCAGTTCCTCCCCATCCATCGCCCATCCCCTTTGCTCTTACAGGGGGTGGAAGGATGGGACTGGCTAACTTGGGGGCAGGAGAGGCAGCTGTGAGGAGCAGGGGGACCCCCTGACTGCCCCCCTCCCTCCCTGGTGTCTGATGGACAGACCTCTTGCCAAGACTGGGTGCTTTCTGCTGGCTGGCCTTCCTGAAGTCTCCAGGGTGCCCCAGCAGCTTCTCCAAACAGAAGCAGTACCTGGTGCATCAGGGGAGGGTCGACATGTCATACAATAATAATAATTGTCAT